ACAACCAATGTCCAAATTACAACCCCAAAAACCAAAGTGATAATTGCAACAACTAATGAGAAGAAACTCAGATGCAAAAACTCAGAAGCAGAGATGAAGATGGACTTAAGCTGAAACGTTTTAGATCAAATTTCTTCCTCTTCGCACATGGGTTTCTCTGTTCTTCCCCCAACAGAAGCATCTCCGACCACCACCATCTCCCCCACGAAGGTTGCCAGCATCCACCATCATTGACTTCCTCTGCTCCCCCTCCGCCGTCCCCACCCTCCTCGCCACCATCACTGACTTCCTCTGCTCCGCCTCCGTCGTCCCCACGAAGCTTGCCAACATATCCTCCGCCGTCCCCACCCTCCTCGCCACCGTCACTGACTTCCTCTGCTCCGCCTCCTTCCACGAATCCTCCGTCCTCGGGTGGTTCTCCGCTCCTCATAGATCTGCCCTCCACCCCTCCATGCGCTCAAATCTGCTCTCCGCCCCTCCATGTGCCCAGATCTGCCCTCCGCCCCTCCATGCGCCCAGATTTGCCCTCCATCACCTCCCTCCGTCACCGCTGCGTCCTCGTCGTCGTTGCGTTCTCGTCGCCGCGTCCTCGCCTCCGCTGCGTCCTCGTCGCTGTTGCGTCCTCGTCGTTGTGTCCTCACCGTTGCGTCCTCGTCGCTGTTGCGTCCTCGTTGCTGTGTCCTCGCCGTTGCGTCCTCGCTGCCGCTGCGTCCACCGTCGGTGCTGCCTCGCCGCGTCCACCGTCGTCGCACATGGCACATCGCAGGAGGAGAATATCGCGAGGCGGAGAAGAGGAGAGGTGCTTTGGGGAAATGATTAGGCTACCCAGGTTTTCCCCAATTTAAAGCCCAATATGCCTCGGGTCCATGCCAACCGAGGCCGTATCTTTGCTAGGTGAGGGTTATGCCTCGGTTCACTTTGATAACCGAACCAATATTATTTTTAGACACCGGTTGCTTAACAACTGAGACATATAATGCTTTTAAAATTATGAAACTGCCACCGCGTTTTGATATGCTTTGGTTCAGTAAAAACCGAGTCATAATGTATGAGTTAAAAACGTCATTTTTTACTAGTGTGATCTTCTTAAATATGTTAACTTGAAATTTTAAATATGTGAAAAGTATGTTTTGAGAATTCCAAAATTATAAATTACCTTAAACTACTTAGCTATAATTTGGTTCTTTTCTAAATTCATTTGAGACATTTAGCTCTATTTTAATAGAGATTCTAAAATAATTTTTCATGCCTACACGTCGCCAACTTAATTTGGATATGTCTTCGCATTTGAATGTTTGTGGATGAGAGTTATATTTCCACTATTCTCGTAGCCAATAAAAATTAAAATAATAAATATAATAATGATGAGAGATATTAAAAAAATAAAATTATTTAAAGGAAAAAATATTAGTATTAATATCAAGATTTGTTAAAAATAATATATAAGTTCAGACATATTCAAAGTTATTTACTAAATTGATTATCTTCGTAAATATGTCAATCGAGTCTTTTATAAAAACTACATGAATATATTTCAAACTAATTCCAACAGATTTTAATGCAATTATAACCAAGGTAGCATTTGGTAAGAAAAAAAAATATGAAAATCTTAAATTAGAATGGCTATTTTTGTTACTTTTGTTTTTTAAGAAAATAATATTTAATCAGTAAACCAAAGTCGTCAATTTCAACATCTTTAGCAGAATCCTAGAATAATGGACCAATCCACTTTAAGGGCACTTTGGATCATTACAGCTCGCAAAATATAGGACTTATATAAAGAGGAAGTATCGAAAACTTAAATTTGGGATCAAACAAAGCAATGGAATATTTCTACCTTCACCTTAAATCTTAGCTTTTTCAAGAACGATATGCTTATATCACTATTTCATTATTTTTAACAATTTCTTTTTTTTACTTTTAATAACAATTTCATGATAATCATCATTAAAAATTATATTTATTTACAAAGTTATCACGGTTTTTCTACGACAATAACTCAAACTATTGTTAAAATGGAGTTTGGAAACAAATTTTGAATTAACATATGGCAAAAAAAAGAAGACCAATTGGTCATTTTTGTCAACAAAAACAAAAAACTTATAGAAAAGTGCGTACGTTAATCGGCCAAAATAAAAAAAAATGGTGATTGATATTGAACTCGTTGCCATTTGTCAGCAAACTTGATCCAAACACAAAGAGACAAGGTTCTGTAGATTAAAATAAATGGCAGTAATTGGATATAACGAGATGATAGAGAAACAAATGGTATCATATTGAATTTTCTTTTTATTTTTTTGTGTATAAATGGTTTCAAGAATGTAAGAAAGATGAGAGAAGATAGGAAGGAAAATTAAAGAGATAGATTTGTTTGAAGTAAGAATGGTGACGAAAAGTGTGGCTAACTCAGTGCTTGCGTTGAGGATAGTTGCTCTTGCATCTTCGGCTGCAACAATGGCCTTACTCGTTACCAACAGCTACACATTTCAAAACGGTGCAGAGGTCAGATATCAAGATTTCGATTCATACAGGTCAAAAAAACCTATCCAAACTATTTTTTTAATTTATCCTATGTTTTGGGCTTTAAACATAACTCAACACACAAAACGAGCGTGTAAGATGAGGTTTGCACCCATTTATAAACTAAGGATTGATCTTATCTCTAGTCGAGGTAGGACTTTCAACATCCTATTCATTCTATCAACAGTTATATATGTTAAACTTTTAATATTNCGTTTTAGATCAAATTTCTTCCTCTTCGCACATGGGTTTCTCTGTTCTTCCCCCAACAGAAGCATCTCCGACCACCACCATCTCCCCCACGAAGGTTGCCAGCATCCACCATCATTGACTTCCTCTGCTCCCCCTCCGCCGTCCCCACCCTCCTCGCCACCATCACTGACTTCCTCTGCTCCGCCTCCGTCGTCCCCACGAAGCTTGCCAACATATCCTCCGCCGTCCCCACCCTCCTCGCCACCGTCACTGACTTCCTCTGCTCCGCCTCCTTCCACGAATCCTCCGTCCTCGGGTGGTTCTCCGCTCCTCATAGATCTGCCCTCCACCCCTCCATGCGCTCAAATCTGCTCTCCGCCCCTCCATGTGCCCAGATCTGCCCTCCGCCCCTCCATGCGCCCAGATTTGCCCTCCATCACCTCCCTCCGTCACCGCTGCGTCCTCGTCGTCGTTGCGTTCTCGTCGCCGCGTCCTCGCCTCCGCTGCGTCCTCGTCGCTGTTGCGTCCTCGTCGTTGTGTCCTCACCGTTGCGTCCTCGTCGCTGTTGCGTCCTCGTTGCTGTGTCCTCGCCGTTGCGTCCTCGCTGCCGCTGCGTCCACCGTCGGTGCTGCCTCGCCGCGTCCACCGTCGTCGCACATGGCACATCGCAGGAGGAGAATATCGCGAGGCGGAGAAGAGGAGAGGTGCTTTGGGGAAATGATTAGGCTACCCAGGTTTTCCCCAATTTAAAGCCCAATATGCCTCGGGTCCATGCCAACCGAGGCCGTATCTTTGCTAGGTGAGGGTTATGCCTCGGTTCACTTTGATAACCGAACCAATATTATTTTTAGACACCGGTTGCTTAACAACTGAGACATATAATGCTTTTAAAATTATGAAACTGCCACCGCGTTTTGATATGCTTTGGTTCAGTAAAAACCGAGTCATAATGTATGAGTTAAAAACGTCATTTTTTACTAGTGTGATCTTCTTAAATATGTTAACTTGAAATTTTAAATATGTGAAAAGTATGTTTTGAGAATTCCAAAATTATAAATTACCTTAAACTACTTAGCTATAATTTGGTTCTTTTCTAAATTCATTTGAGACATTTAGCTCTATTTTAATAGAGATTCTAAAATAATTTTTCATGCCTACACGTCGCCAACTTAATTTGGATATGTCTTCGCATTTGAATGTTTGTGGATGAGAGTTATATTTCCACTATTCTCGTAGCCAATAAAAATTAAAATAATAAATATAATAATGATGAGAGATATTAAAAAAATAAAATTATTTAAAGGAAAAAATATTAGTATTAATATCAAGATTTGTTAAAAATAATATATAAGTTCAGACATATTCAAAGTTATTTACTAAATTGATTATCTTCGTAAATATGTCAATCGAGTCTTTTATAAAAACTAAATGAATATATTTCAAACTAATTCCAACAGATTTTAATGCAATTATAACCAAGGTAGCATTGGGTAAGAAAAAAAAAATCTGAAAATCTTAAATTAGAATGGCTATTTTTGTTACTTTTGTTTTTTAAGAAAATAATATTTAATCAGTAAACCAAAGTCGTCAATTTCAACATCTTTAGCAGAATCCTAGAATAATGAACCAATCCACTTTAAGGGCACTTTGGATCATTACAGCTCGCAAAATATAGGACTTATATAAAGAGGAAGTATCGAAAACTTAAATTTGGGATCAAACAAAGCAATGGAATATTTCTACCTTCACCTTAAATCTTAGCTTTTTCAAGAACGATATGCTTATATCACTATTTCATTATTTTTAACAATTTCTTTTTTTTACTTTTAATAACAATTTCATGATAATCATCATTAAAAATTATATTTATTTACAAAGTTATCACGGTTTTTCTACGACAATAACTCAAACTATTGTTAAAATGGAGTTTGGAAACAAATTTTGAATTAACATATGGCAAAAAAAAGAAGACCAATTGGTCATTTTTGTCAACAAAAACAAAAAACTTATAGAAAAGTGCGTACGTTAATCGGCCAAAATAAAAAAAAATGGTGATTGATATTGAACTCGTTGCCATTTGTCAGCAAACTTGATCCAAACACAAAGAGACAAGGTTCTGTAGATTAAAATAAATGGCAGTAATTGGATATAACGAGATGATAGAGAAACAAATGGTATCATATTGAATTTTCTTTTTATTTTTTTGTGTATAAATGGTTTCAAGAATGTAAGAAAGATGAGAGAAGATAGGAAGGAAAATTAAAGAGATAGATTTGTTTGAAGTAAGAATGGTGACGAAAAGTGTGGCTAACTCAGTGCTTGCGTTGAGGATAGTTGCTCTTGCATCTTCGGCTGCATCAATGGCCTTACTCGTTACCAACAGCTACACATTTCAAAACGGTGCAGAGGTCAGATATCAAGATTTCGATTCATACAGGTCAAAAAAACCTATCCAAACTATTTTTTTAATTTATCCTATGTTTTGGGCTTTAAACATAACTCAACACACAAAACGAGCGTGTAAGATGAGGTTTGCACCCATTTATAAACTAAGGATTGATCTTATCTCTAGTCGAGGTAGGACTTTCAACATCCTATTCATTCTATCAACAGTTATATATGTTAAACTTTTAATATTAAATAAGTTAATTTTGCTTAATCTTAAAAAACTTAAGAGTAACTAGTAAATATGGTCTTAAAACCTTAAATATTTATGGTTGACTAAGAAAAAAGTTTGGTAAAAATGAAAAGAGCTTCTTGTATCTCATTGTTGCCGTTGGTATGTAAAATCTGCAGCCTTGTGGTAGCTATTGCAGCAATTACGTGTGCATATTCTATAGTTCAGCTTCCATTTGCTATATACCATGCATTACGACACAAGAGGCTCATAAACAATGGATTCTTGCCAAAATTTGACTTATATGCAGACAAGGTATGGCTTTCTCGTTATATATTATCGCATAAAATATACTTAATAGTTCAATAATACAAATCAAGCAACACTTTAATGTATATTAGGAATTTTGAGTTTTAAATAGTTGAAAATTTATGTTACCAAAAATAAAACAAATTTATAAATGGATGTAAATTTTATCTTAAAACACTTTCTTTAAGATTGAATTAAATTTATGGTTAAATATATTTTTAGTTCATAAACTTGAATGTAAAATTACAATTTATTTATGTTCCAAACTTTGATATAATTTAGTCTTTTAAGTTTTAGAAGTAAATAAATATAGTTATTTTAATACAATTGTGTAATTTTTTTTACATATTAAATAATATTTCAAGTTAAAGTTTGAAGTGTTTATATTTCAGCTTAAATATTAATTTAAAACACTTTTTAACACAAAAAGAAGTTGATGTTGTTAGATTAAAATATTTATATTAATTCATTTATTAAGTTTGAAGATTAAAATATATATATTAAAATTTGAGATATACACAAGTTATAATTTTAGGTCTAAATTTAAAGATTAAAAATATATTTATCTCTTAAATCATTTTTTAAAATCTTACCAAATCAAAATCTATATTAGTAAAATTTATTATTTATTATATTTACTGTCTTTTACTAATGAGAATAAAACAAAAGTGTATTTAAACAGAGCAAAATCGGAAGTATTTGATTTTTCTGTTATATAGTTCTTGGACATTAATATATATGGATGTTAATTTTACAGGTAATTAGTCTGTGTCTGGGCGTAGCCTGTGGCGCTGGTTTTGCACTGTCTGTTGAATTAAAGAAGTTCCTGAAGGAGCATGTCATAAATTTGAATGATTTTAATTTTAAGGGTCCATACAACAAGCTTTTGATTCGAGGATTAATTTCTTCTGCTTTTCTTCTCGTCACCTTCTTCTCCATGGCTGTCCTTTCATTCATTTCCTCCAACATCCCACCCAGAAAGCAAGCCAACCCCTACTGAACCCTACCTATATATTGCTTCATCATTTTTTCCTATCAAAGTTTATATAAATGTACAATATTGGTAAATGAATGAGACATATGAATATTTTTTTTATTAATTCCTGACCACAAGAACCACACTTTATTTCATTTTTTGTATATTCGTACTCAATCTTGATTAACTAATCAGAGTAATCAGAAGTCAATTTTATCCAAAAGAAATAAAATATTAGTTCTATGCTCACTCCCAATCCTACCCACATACATTTAATAAATTACACACCAACTAAAAAGTTACATCTGCTTTCAACTTTACCTACTACATAACTTAATTAAAAGATTTATACTTATCTCTTGACAATGTCATTTAACATAGTGAATTATTCAAAGAGTGTGTTTTCAATAAACATTTTTTGTTTTACACTTAACTTTTCATTCAATGCACCTATAAATTTCGATTCCCAGGAATGACAGAAAGAAATCTAAAAAAAAATAAATTTAAACTTAGGTTAAAGATCTTAAACCTATGCAAAAATGTTTATGATACAAACATACGTACCTTTGTGTCTTGACTACATTCACCAACCACCTTTACTTATCATTGTTATTCTCATATGCCACCGAAAACCAACACTTTGCTTCGCAACGTTAATGAGATATGACAATGACAATTAAAGGAATGAGAATGACGATTGAAGAGAGAACGTTTCGTTTGCAAGAGAATGAATGAGAATGTTGCCATACGTTTTGGTGAGAACAGATCACAATGTCGTTAACATAGGTTTTCTGTGTTGGGTTCAAATGAGAACGCAATGTTGCAATTTGAGATTCTAACATGAGCATAAAATGTCTTAGTCAACAACTTAAAAGAATTATTCAAAATTCAATTTAGAAAAACCCTAACGGCTATGTTAAAAAAGTGTCAAAAAAAGTATGTAAAAACATCCTTTCTGTTTTCTAAAACATCCTTTCTGTTTTCTAAAACATTGATAAGCTATAAAAGGCTTATACAAAAGTTGCAAGCCCCTTTTGTATATTTAACTTTTGTTTAGTTTAAATAAATGATTGATTGTTTTTAAAACTTTTTGTAAGAATTTTCAATTATGAAACAAAGATACGTTGAAGATATCACATCGACTAGAAATAGAACAATTTTAATAATATATAAATGAGTGTAAAACTTTTACAAGTTAATTTTGTGAAGTTGAATTAAACTTAAAATTTATTTCTTAACAAGATAAGGTTTGAAAACTCTTTTTACCCTTCTTAGAAAATTTTTTGATGTATAAGGTTGTTTACAATGAATCTTTTAACACTTCAAAGATTTAGATAATAAGCAATATTGACGAAAGATAATAACACAAGATTTATACTAGTTTAACTTTTTAAGAGTTTACATCCACTTTTCTTCCAATAGCAATCCACTAATATCAAGTATCAAAATTTACGAAATAGAAGACTCACTTATGTACTTTCGTTCTCTCAATCACAACAAAACACAATCCTAAAGATGAGACCATACACTCACTTTTAGGAGTCTTACTCAAATAACAAAGATAACAACAATACACAAAGAATTTACAAAAAAGAAAACCCGAACCAGCACAAATGCATATTCTTAAAAATGAAACAATTGATGTGGTGGCTATGTGGAGGTTGATGGTTCTTTATTGGTGACAAATTTCATGAAATAAAAAAAAGAAAAAAGAAGAAAGAAAAAGATGAATCAAATAATGAATTTTATTAATAGATTTTTTTGTTGATAAATATTGACAAAACAAAATTTTTGTTGATAAAATTTATTAATAATAATTTTATTAATGAATTTTTACTATTAATAATTTTAATTTATCAATAAATTTTAAATATTATTAAAAAAAATTAATTTTTAATAATATTAATTTTTCTTAAAATAACAATGCCGTTGATAAAGTTTTATATGCTTTCTTAATTTTGCTTTAATGATGGATAAGGTTTGCACTAAATGTTTCGTTGAGAGTGGACTTTGGTCTTCGATTGGCCGTTTATTAATTGGGAGGTTTGCATTAAATGTTTTTGTCGAGAGTGGACTTTGGTCCTCATAGGAAGTGAAGTATATCTAAGGATATCTTTTGTAAATTCTAAAAGCCGAATAAAATTATAGAGTGTTGTGCTAGCTTGAAATTTGATTATTACTTTCTTTTTTTTAAAAAAAATATGTATTTAGTTTTGATACATTACAATGCATTAGTTTTTAGTAACTATAGGAGAACACATTTTTATATTTATTTAATAAATATTACAAGAATAAAATAATTGAGTAAATTTTTGTATTTTTTAAGAAAAAAGAGAATAAAAAAAAGTAGTGTAAAATTAAGGT